TTAAGTGCGAAAAAAGTTTTTGTAGCAAAATCGTCAATTAATAAAGAATTATTTATTTTACATGTCAAATGTGAGTATCTGCTTGATAAAATGTCCGTGAGTGTTTGCATATTTAAGAAGTTTTTCCTAAATAAACCACATTTTCAGCTTTCAACTATACTGCTAAACCATCTCTGTGAAAAAGAAATTGAGATAACGATTTTTCCGTTACTCGTTTTTTGGAGACCTTATGGGGACTTATGAGTAAGTTTTACTCAAAACCGTGTTATGAGGACCTCTCTAATTTGTAGTCCAAAGACGATTTCGTGCCGAAAAATGCAGATTTAAAGACATGTATTTGTGGGATCCCGGTTTTGTCCCCACAAATCCAAGCTGACCCCACTGTACGGGTGTGTAACTATACACATGTCCCCATTAGTCACCATGCATTAATTACTTACTTACCTGCTTATTAAGTCATGAAGTGATCTGCGTCTATTCTTTCTGTTTTGTTAGTCAAGAAAATAAGTTCTCTCCCAGAAAATACCCAACATGAGTAACCTAAGTAGTGAAGTCCATGAGGAATGATAAAAACAGTACGAGGTTACAAAAATAAACTTGAAAAATGTATATCTCAGCCTTTCCACTTGTTTTGCGCGTACCTGATCACTTTCCTGCTGCGTCAATCGCTCTGACATTTCCTGCCAAATGTCCCCTCGTGTTTCTGGACCTTTAAAAATAAAACGGTTACCGAAAAAAAACCCAAATTACCAAGGGGGTGGGGTGGGGGGGAGGTACTCGGACATGAATTAGAAAGGGAGGTACGAAGAGTTATAGACTTTGGAATTCGCGATCTAAAGAGTTTCGTGGGTTTTTTGTCTGGTGTCTTTTTGGGGGATAAAAGATTTTGAAAATGACATTTTGAGAAGATATGTTCTGAGTCTTTGGACATCTTTGAGGATTTTGTCTTTTTAGCATAATAGCCCATTTTGGGTCAAATAATTCAATTTTATTTGCACCCTCCTGGCGCTAATATACTTGAGTACCACGTGCACCTTCGATGCCTGCGACAATAATATGTGTTGTCAGTTTTTTCGTCCCTCATTAGTCTTTCTTCGACTTTATTCAGCCGATAGGAAATTATATGTTTTCCTTCTAATCCACGAAGTTTGTAATCTCCTACCCAGATCTCACTCTGTTTTTCCCTTCCGCTTGGCCGTGGGAGATCTAGGCTGCATGAAGTTTGCACATTGTTTGCCCAACTACAGTTTCGATGAAAATTTCTTTCTTATTGTTCAGCTATATGTTTTTATAGTTACTAAATAGCACGTATGTATAAAGACCATAGCCTCATTCATTCTTAATTTAATTTGCGTTTCCTTTAATTTGTTTTCGTTTTTAGACCACTGTCACAATAAACAACTGTGGATTATTCGTTTATTTTAGCTGTTACAACGGGAGGCGTGGTGCCTAAGTCGGTTGACATTTGGGTCAAACTACAGCTGTAGACAAAAGTCTTTGGGACACTGATGCAATGCAACGAATTATCGGCGTTTTACAATTGAAGTTTGAAAAAGCATTGCTTTCCTTTTTAAAACGCGTTGCTGTCCCCACCTCCCTCCCCAACCAATCTCAGGAGAAATTGCATGTAGTAGTTTTCAACATTGCATGCGGGGTGGGGGGAGAGGCTAGGTAGGTGAGGTTGTATTCCAGCGACTGTTTTTCTGACGTGTGTATGGAAAGCGCTAAAAGTGCAATTTTATCCTAAGACTTTTCTCCATGATCGTAGAAAGGCTTACTGTGTTGTCTTCCGGAACAAGCACTTTACTCTCATAGTATCTCTCTTCGCCCAGAACTATAAATGGACTCAGGTGAGTTATCACAACAACCTGACAATATTTTTTTAAGGTGTATAGGGGTGGAGAGGAACAAACTGGCGGAGATGAAGAGGCTGTAAAATTTGATTTTATAGAATTTGGCTTTACTCAGTAAATTGCTAGGATATTTTATCCTCTAGCGCGATTTACCTTTTCCTTCAACACACGAATGTGAAAATGTCAAGTATCTTCAAAAATGTGGTTCATTAATTTTGAGTTGCTAGTCAGAAAATATCTGGGCTGATACAAGGTTTGTTGAGTTGTAAAAACTTCGGGGCGTAGGCGGTAGACATGTCGATGCGTTGAGTTTATTTCCGGCCGATAAAATGCGCATTGATATCAATAAACTATGAAAAAGCTAATGAAGTCATATAGAAAATCTTTGAAAACTTAGATCAAAGTGATGGCCATGAGTCAAAAACAACAAAGTATCCATGGTAACACTTTTATTGTCAAGCCGCTATTTCTTCTATATCCCGTCATTGACAATTATCTTTACTTAAAAGACTATGAGCTAGTCTGTTGTTTTACTTCATTACATTTTTGAAATCCCTTGGCAAAAGACCTTGTTTTTTAACAACATATAACCGAGTACCATGCCCATCAACCCATCTCTACTTGCGGCTTTTTGTTAAGTTGGCTTGTCAATAACTGGGCGGCTTCTTGCAGACAACGGCAATTTCTGAGGCCAAATCACATTTATCAGCATCCCAAAAACCTTGAGGCTCTTCTTTACCATACATCCATACGCACGGATTTGTAGCTTGCCCATCCGGTTCACCTGAAGCCCAGTTTGCGTAGTCTGAATTTGAAGAGACGACCCAGTCGAGGGATGCTTTCAATCCGATCCAAGCCTTTGCACGATCTGCTGCAACGATTAGTTCTTTCACCTTGTTGTTCTCTTCAGCGCTCTCTATCGTCACCAGGTTTGCTTTCTGGTCTTTGCAGTCGTTTTGAGCGTCGATCCAAGACTTGGCATGTCCAGTCACCAAGTAACAGTGGGAAGTCTCTTCAATAAACTGCCAGGAAAAGTCACAACGTCCATCTGATGAGGAATCCTGCTTGGCCACTCTAGGCAGAATTCTTGGATGCTTGTGCACACGTGGCAATGCTGAAGAAAATTGAAAATAGTGAGAATTAGTCGGAAATAGTGCTCTCAAAAGCAAACAAAATAGCAAACACAGGCTAATTTGAGGAACTGAAGGAGAATGCCAGTGATTTTACAGACTTTTGAACTGCATGATGTTTTTTTGTTTGTTTTTTTTTTTGAAAGCATAAAGCCTCCAAAGTTTTAAACATCTGAAAATTTATTCTTAAAGTACGACTGCTCACTTTATTCAAGGTTATGAAATTATTAAGAAAGCTGGTTTGCTGGAACATAAACTATAGTTCTCTCTAGTCGAGAGTTCTCTGACTTGAATGATTTTAGACTCAGAGACAAATGTAACACAGAAAAACGAGACTTCGTGACTTATCATTAACGTTCCGAGATTTCAAAATGGCATCAAAAGTTTCTGAGACCTGCAATTTTCTAAACCCAGTCACTATGTGGCTCGGTGACCTCATGGTTAGTGCGCTCGTCTCCGGATCGAGCTGTACGGGTTCGAGTTCTGGCCGAGGACATTATGTTGTTGTGTTGTTGGGCAACACACACTGTACTCTCACAGTGCCTCTCCACCCAGGTGTATAAATGGGTACCGGCGAATTTGATGCTGGCGGTAACCCTACGATGGACTAGCATTCCATCCCTGAGAGGAGAGGAGAAATACTCCTAGTCGCTTGATGCTTCAGAAACCGTAGATGGGCACCGGCCTAATGGGCTACGTGGCTAGTAAGAAGACTTTTATTCACCACACTCAGCTTTTAAAATACCTGACACACATCCAAAGGCAAATAGAGTGGTTACGATATAAACTGGCAGCGATGCAAACATCTTCATCTCGGTTTTCAGCTCTGATTTGTAACACCACGATTCCTAGAATAAAGAATTGAACATGAGAAATGACGCACTCTTATGCCCTCCAGGGAACACGAAGAAACAGGAGCCTGGACTAAAGAGTAAATACTATAATGGCAGTATGAGTTAGATAGAATACCCAGCTAGCTATGTTTGACTCCTAAAAGTATTCATGATGGGAATGGCTCATAGTTTAATTAATGGCAGAGACTGAAATTATAAATCAGATACTCTTGTGAGGCATGCACGAACATTAGCGAAGTAATCTGAATCAGTCGGCTAGTAATACGCGTAGAAATGCAATCTTACTAAACGATTAGAGAAATAGTCCTAACTCAGAAAGCTCAGCTGATTACAGACGATCTCCTTGAAACAAGCCTATTGAAAAACGCACATGCTACGTTTATTTGCTAAACTTTGTATAGCATATATTATGTTATTTCAGTGGAAAGACCCGTGAGATGAGCTACACAACCACACCCTAGTAGGATCATAATCAAACTTACCTTTGATATCGGACTCCGCCTCAGAGTTTGCGAGCAGACTGTTTGCGCGCTAATATATCTTAAAGTATTCACACTGTTGATAATAATGTGGTCTTCATCTATTGGACGAAGGTCTAGTGTTGTAATAACCTCTAATAATAGAAAGCACTCAACGGCTATTTGTGCAAGGTAAATAGTTGTTCTAACGGGATGGTTATCAGTGGTTGGTTGGGTTCAATGATTTTCAAAGAAATCTCTGTTTCGGTTCAAAACTCACTGACAGGTTTGTAGACTTTCAAAACAAAGCCAACTTCTTGAGTGTTTTCGTTTATGTTTTGTAGACTCTAAAGCGCCAATTCATGATTATCCCTCGAGCCTATTCTACACATCAAAGACAAATTTGCTCTCACAAATAAAGGAATAAAACCGGTGAAAATTTCTTACACGCTTCCAGAACAGATTAATTATGATGAAGGAGAAAAAAAGGAAAAGTCTTACAGGATCATTTACTTCCTTCACTTTAAAAGCTTGCTCAATAAAAGAAGGAGAGTTTTCGTTACTTAAGTCCAATAACTATTGGTGACTTTGTAACGGAAATGGAATGGCAGCCTTTGGTCTCAGCAAATCAGGAACAATCATATACTAAATATCACAATATATTCATATTGGTGCTTTAACATGCCCTGTAGATGCGTTTAAAAAAAGGTTTATCTGCAGAAATTCTTTAAATCACAGCTTCATTGATGCAATTACAGATGCAATTACAGCGAGTGCATCAGGCAACCATGCTGGGATTGACATAAAAATACTTTAATGCTGTTTACAACGCAACGGATACCATGTGCAGCGCGAGAGAATAATTTTATCTGCTTTCGTGCGTCGAACTGAGAGCTTAGTTTAATTGTATGTGTCGTTTTTTACACCACAGTAGACGCATAATTAATCGCTTGCATGAGGTGTGACCGAGGAATCGGTTGTTTGGTGAAGGAATCCGCTAAGTGCGTTACAGGCCGAAGTGTTGGCGGTTTCTACTACCATAAAACGAATAAAACCGGTTGAACTTTCTTACATGCTTAATTTATTATTAATTTTGCTTTATTCATTTATTATTTATGCTTAATTTATTGATTATGATGAAAGAAACGTCTTACAGGACCACTTACAGCCTTCACTTTTGAAGGCCAAATAAAAAAGGAGAGTTTTTCGTTACTTAGTCAACTAAATTTTGGTGACTTCGTAATGGAAATGATCGGAAGGGCTCGCACTGGTTTAGTGGCATAGACTGAAAGTGTGAATCAATCAGAATCCACACGTTAAAGAGCGTCTGTCATGAAGGTGGAATACGTGGAGGGCCATCATTTGACACAAGTAAAGAACAACTCTTATTTGTTATTGAGCAAGCTCTCAAATTTAAGGACATAAGCTGCTTGGTGAGAGTGTTCAGTAGAATTGTGAAAGGAGAATGGCAACCTTTAGACTCGGCGAATCAGGAACAATGATACTAAATGTCACTATTGATTTTTATTGATGTATTGACATGCCGTGGCTAAAGGAGGTTTTACTGCAGAAATTCTTAAAATCACAGCTCCATTGATACCGATCAGCTAGATGCAATTACAGCGAGTGCATTAAGCAACCATGCTGGGATTGAAATAACAATGCTTTAATGCTATTTAAAACGCAACAGATACCATGGGCAGCGTGAAAATAAAATGGCTATCTGCTTTCGTGCGTCAAACTGAAAGTTTAGTGTGATTTATTTTGGCACAGGAGAGGTAAATTAACCGCTTGAGGTGTCAGCGAAGAATCGGTTGTTTAATGAAGGAATCCGCTAAGGGCTTCACAAGCCAAACTAACAGTGGCTGCTATTGCTGGTTTCAAAACTTGTAATTCCTTTTATCAGTTTTCTGAATGCTTCTAAATGCAGTTGAGGGCCAACAATTAAAAGGAATTGATTAACGTGAGAGAATATGTTTAGGGCCGGTAAATGAATCAATGCAGTTTAGATTTAATAGCATAATAACACATTTACAAGTAATAGTAATAAAAAATCTAAAATCTTTAAAATCAAATAGCCTAGCCTCAATAACCGAAGAAAGGACCAACGCTACCATAAATAGGTGCGTTGTGATGCACGCCCAAACATTGGCAAAGTAATCTGAATCAATCGGCTAGTAACACGCCTAGAGAGTGAATTCTTACTAAAGGATTACAGAAATAGTCCTAACGCCGAAAGCTTAGCAGACTACAGACGACATCCTTGAAATGACACTATTGCAAAACGCTCATACCACATATATTTGCTTAACTTTGTACCGCACATATCATGTTATTTCAGCGCAAAGACCAGATGAGCTACACAATCACACTCGAGTAGGGTCGTAATTAAAGTTACTTTTGGTATCAGACTCCGCTTCAGAGATTGGGAGTAGATTGTTTGAGCGCTAATATATCTAAAAGTATCCACACTGTTGGTAATAAGTAAACGTGGTCTGCAACTATTGCACCAAATCTAGTGTTGTAATAAACACTAATAATAGAAAGCACTTAGCGGCTATTCGTGAAAGGTAATTAGTTGCGTTTACGGGGTGGTTTTTAGTGCTTGGTTGGTTAGGTTCAATGATTTTCAAAGGAATCTCTGTTTTGGTTTAAAACTCACTGACAGCTTTGTAGACTTTCAAAAGAAAGCAGGCCTCTTCGCGCCCCTTCGTGGAAGATAATTAGTTGCTCTCACGAAATGGTTATCAGTGGTTGGTAGTGTCAGTGATTTTCAAAGAAATCTCTGTTTCGGTTTAAAACTCGCAGACAGGGTTGTAGACTTTCAAAAGAAAGCTGATTCTTGGGTGTTTTCTCTTTTATGTTTTGCAGACTTAAAAGCACCAATTCATGATTATCCCTCGAGGCTATCCTACACATTAAAGACAATTTTGCTCTCACGAATGAACGAATATAAGCGGTCAAAATTTCATACATGCTTCAAGAACACGTTACAGATTAATTATGATGCAAAAGAAACAAAAGAAAAGTCTTAAAGGACCTCTTACATCCTTCACTTTAAAAGCTTGCTCAATAAAAAAACAGACTTTTTCGTTACTTAGTCAACTAAGTTTTGGTGACTTTGTAACGGAAATGGAATCGCAGCCTTTGGACTCAGCAAATCAGGAACAATGACACTAAATGTCACTATATATTCTTATTGGTGCATTAACATGCCGTGTAGATGTGTTTAAAAAAGGTTTTTCTGCAGAAATTCTTTAAATCACCGTTATCTAGATGCAATTACAGCGAGTGCATCAAGCGACCATGCTGGGATGCCTTAATAATGCTTTAATGCTGTTTACAATGGAACGGAGATCGCATGTGCAGCGTGAGAGAATAAAGTTTTCTGCTTTCGTACGTCGAACTGAGAGTGTATGTGTCGTTTTTTACACCACAGTAGACGCATAATTAATCGCTTGAGGTGTCAGCGAGGAATCGGTTGGTTGGTGAAGGAATCCGCTAAGGGCTTCACGGGCCAGTTGAAGTGATAACGATTGCTATTTCTGGTTTAATAATTTCTAATTGTTTGTATCAGTTTTATGGCTGCTTCTCAATGCGGCTGTGAGCCGTCAGCCGAGTAATAAACATTTTTGTAGTGCCTTCGACGCTTTCAATCAACAGGAATAAATTAACGTTCACGAATATGTTTGGGATAAATGAATAAGTGCAGTTTATATTTACAGTTCTCTAAAACCTCTCGAGCGCCTACATGACATACTCAGTGCATCATGATTTTTGCCCCTCAGGTGCCCATATGACGTACTGAGTGCGTCAAAAGTTTAAGAGATTTTGTCAAACTTCCGGTATACCGAAAATAACTTTTATAGGCACCTGAGATTCGTAAGAGGCTTTTTGAGAGACTGCATGCTAATTTTCCCATAGCTTTGACGTCAAATAACGTCAACCTTCAGCGAAGTTAACTGTGGAGTCTTGTCTGCTTGAAAAGTAAACGAACTTTTTTAAGGTTGATATTATAATCTTTGAAGTACTTTTACAATCTATATTGTTTTGGTCCCTAATCTGGTTTCTCGAGTCTTCGTTCCTTCTGATTAATTACAGAACTAACTTGACAGAATCCATAAAACCCATCCGCGTAAAAAACCAGATTGTTTGACGGAAATCAGGACGGAAATTAAGAAGCAAATCTCTATAATAATTTTTTACATCTAATTTCATTTGGGAATTGCTGAACTAGCGCGAAAATCTCCTCAAAACTCAACCGCTAGTTCAATGAGACCGTATGACGTAAATCAAAAAGCCAAACTTTAATCGGTTTTTCATCATGTTTGGACAAACAAATCAGGTGTTATTTTACACCTGAAGTGCTGAGCTAGCGCCAAAATCTTCTGAAAACCCAACCGCTGAGTAAACCATAGTGAATGGCGCAAAGCAAATGCGAAAATTTAATCTTTTTTTTTTTTTCATCTTTGTTGGATAAAAAAATTAGGTTCCTTTACACCCGAAATGAAGTATAACTTATTTGATATAGCATCC